AAAACTTCAGAATCACACGTGAAGACAGGATTCCAGATTCTTAAACAAAGAAACACTCGAAAAGTCGAGCGCATGTCAACCCAACGCGGCCACACCTCTACGCGTTTTAACTACCCCGCATGTAGTATCATCATGAGGTTTGAAACGAAAGGAGAATCCTATACTCCCGAAGTAACACAAATGGCCAATCCTTTGCCTTGCCATCTTATATACCCTCTACCCAACTCCCTCCTTCACCAATCCCTGCCCCATCGAGCTTCTCACACCCATTAGTCCTACRAATACAAAGAGGAAGCAACGACTGACGAAGAATCCACGGAMGGAGCGAGAACCCAGTMGYGCTAGAGTACCCTTCAACCGCCACAGGGGAACGATCGCCATGTCGTAYGATCTGCAAAACAGCCAACACGCACAAACATWCAAGCACACAGCCAAAACCACAGGGCGAACACTCGCCGATCTGGAAACGAGACTCAGCAGGCGCCAATAGTCACGCTCGTCTTGCTTCGAAGTCCCCGAAACCGTCGCGAAGCAGCACGGAGGCAGGCTGACAATCCAACAGCTCATCACATGAGCAGGAACCATACCACGCTCATCGAGAGAACGTGCGCACTGCCCCATCACCCACTGAGTCAGACTGCGATGGGAGCAGCGTTAACGCACCCGCTGAAGCACAAGCAGCGGACCCGCCGTTGGGTACGCAACGAGCAGAATGAGAGATCAACACCACTGTCTCCATCAGTAATATAGCAGAAGCGTGGGCCATCTTTACGGTACCTACCAACCGTTTGCCCATCGAAGCAGGCGCAAGGCACAAGGCCCGCCGTTGGGACCACAGGCGCCGCTAGGAGGCCTTCGAGGCCAAACCCTCCACTGTGAAGCCATAGAGGGTCCCTGCGAGGGGACCAACCCCGAGAAAATTGACAAGTCCGCTGGTAAAGCCGCAGGAAAAACGGCCCGGTAGGCCGATGTTGTGGAAAGAGACCACAACCAAGCCCCGAACCCCCCCCCCAAGGGCTCAATAAGCCAAGCAACAATCAGCCCTTCGGCAGAAGCTGTCCTACTGGCAAACCTATGAAAAACCATCCGAACCAGCTTGGGCGGGTAACCTCGCAACAATAATTCCATTCTCACCGCTAGGAAAGCTTGCATTCTTCCGAAACAATCGGAAGACCAGCGATGAATGCGGAACAAAGTACTGAGGATAGCCCCAATCTTAGCTTGCTTGGAGCCGTACGATGCAAAATCTTGGAAAAATCCGAACTTCAGCGAACCGTCCTTCCATAAGCCATCCAAATTTTTAACCAAGGCTACAGTCCTCACAGAGGCCCCAATCCTCTGCAATTCAACACCAGCAAAGTTCCATTCACTCAGACCTTTATCCGTCTTTTCCAAACGCAGACTCCTGCCATAACAGCCGGAAAACAGTGAGAGAATCTCGTGCGCCCTGGCATACCCCTGATACCCCCTTACCGCTACGAAGATAGTCACATCATCCACAATGCGGAAACCAAAAACCAGTCTCTTGTCCATCCCCAAGGAGGACAAAAAAACATATTCAGCACAGGCACAGAGGATACATGCCAGAGAACAACCGGTGGACTTACCCATGGGTACACCAATTACCTGCCTGAGAAAAACGGAGGTGGACCAAATGAAGGTAAACCTCAGATCAAATGTCACCATATCACGAATCAACCATAAGCTGAGAAGCAAGCACCCTTCCCTCTTCGAGCCAAATGATAGGTAGGGGGCTTTTCCCCGTTTGGCAACAGATACCCCTGAGCAATCCCAGTCGTGATTTCGATGAATCAACCAATCCACTGCTCTAATTATGTCGGCCTGCGGGAGCGAAACGAACATGCCTTTCACATCGAAGGATGCTGAAAGAATGTCAACCACATCCCCCAAGCTTACCAGCGACCCTTTCATTCGATCCAACCCCACCCGTAGATAATCTACTGCTTTCAAGTTAAAGTTAGAGGCGATAGGTAGACCAAAAAGCAAGCAGTTAAGCGCACGAGCCACACGCGACGAAGCCAATTTAGTAGACTCTGAAAATGTAGGCGAAATGGGCCGCCATCTCGTCAGATCCTTGTGCTTCGGAATTACAAATGCACAACCGAACTTACCCTGCGGATCCCACCTTCCTATCCGCTGCAGGCCTAATTCCAAGAAAACGGATCTCATAACCAAAAGGACTTCCAACTCAGACCTACCCTCCAAAACAAACGATAGACTGCAGTTGAAAGTCAACTTCTAAAAATGCGAGTACAAGGTAGGACACAGAACAAGCGTATCCGCAGTATTTCGATCGATCGGCACACAAGCAAAATCCCTGAATTTCTCAACCCACACCGACACCAGTGGATCAACAACTCCTGGCGAAGGTGCCGTGACCACCCAACAGTCTACTGAATCCTTCTGATCAAGCAGGAGAGCAGATCCCAGCAACTTACAAATGCAGGCGAGCTCCTTCCCTAGGTCCACAACCCCCCGGTGACAAGACACAAAAGTGATATTCCTAGAATTACGAAAGATAGGAGGAACACCAGGAATCTCACCAATACGAGCTAGAATATGGAACCCATACCGCGGCCATTCCACATTTGCATCAAAACAAGGGCAAGAGTTGTTTGATGATCTAGCATACTTCCGGTGATTCAAAATCAGATCCCCAATGGTCCGGTTCTTCTTCCAAACAATACGAACTCTAGACAACAAAAATCCAACAATTGCATCCGGCAATCGAGAGGCAGAAATACACTTGGTAACCAACTGGTGCACTTTAGTCAACGACACCCGATGGTCAAACCTCAAATGCACAACCAGACGCCGCCGGAGGTCGAATCCCAGTCTTCGCTTAATCTCCCGGGCTACAATACCTTTTAGCCTAGAACGTGTCTCCTTTCTTGAAAATTCCCTCGCCGCACAGAACCAGCGAACCAGCGTAAAAAAGGACCACAAAGGCAAATCCTGCCGTCTCCAGGGCTGCTGAAGCAACAAACTCAACTCACCTTTACAAATAGCTCGGTCATTCGGGGTAAGTACAATAGGACAAAATACGAAGGAACCCCCCTTTTCGAACTCACGCTTACCTTCCTTAAGACAAAAACGACACTGGTGACCTTCCACCGTGGAGGTTCCAAAAGCCCGCCGAAGAACCGACCACTTATCCCCCCACTGTGAACCAGGCAGACATTCAATAACCACAGTCCTAACACCCTTTTTAACCAAATTACTGAGCAAGTTAAACAAACTGTCAACCCACTCGCAGTTCTCCTCCGTGAAGCGAAGGACAGGACCATACCTTAAGATCGCAGGAATATTCCCTACCCTCTTCTTTCTAGATGGCCTCACCCATGATCTCTTCCCTCTACGAGTTTTCTTAGTATTAAGGGCCGGGCTAAACCTTCTGATAACCACAATCTCAACAGCATTAATGGAGCAGAGCCCATTCACCACCGGCACAGCTACGTACTTCCACACTCCAACAAAACACAACCATCGATGGAGCTTAGGACAAACGCCCAAACCCCCAGAGAAGGTCGTTCTACAGTGCTCCCCCCATCTCACATAAAGCCCACGAATCGTACTACCAACATACTGCGATTTATACCATGGGGAAGCCAAAACGTAAACAACAGGACCTGAATCCCACTCGTTTCAATCCACCGAACAGAGCATTCGCTCGAATTTAGAAGCCCATCGAATCTCCCCAAGAAGCACCTGAGCGACAAAACACAGAGATACACACTTACCGATAGCGATCCGCAAACGAGGAGGAAAACTTTCTTTGAAAGCAACAATCCACTGGCTCATCAATGATAGCAGGTTATCCCAAAGCTTAAAAACGGAGTATCTTCGTAGTCAATCTGCCAGATCCACCTCGAGTGAACCCGGAGCCGACGTGGCCGATGAAAAAATGAAACCCTCGTACGCCAGCTTGGTCCTGGCCGCAATGATCCGATCGATAGACGGGCCTTTAGTACAGTACCGAAGGCCTTCCTTGCTGCAAATGCGCTTCAGCTCATCTTGACGCATGGCAGACAACTTCTTCTTCTGTTTTAAAACGTACTCCATTAGCCCTTCGGGACCACTCCCAGCAGGGATCTTGGTCCTAGCCACCCCCTCCGGGCGCCGCGAACACTCGGCCCGTAAAGGAGTTTCCTCAGCGTCATTAGGAGGAGCGGAGAAAAGCGGTTGTCAAAAGTTTAACTTACCTCCCGACCGCATAAGCTCCTTCCCCTTTCTCCTCTTCTCCCGTAGCGCAGAAAGCCGGCGGATCTCCTCATCCAGGTCATCAACCTCCATATCGCCCTCATCTCTCTCAACGAACTCTCGTCTACGTCTTGGCGGGGGAGACCACCCTCTGCGTTGCTCCTCCCTCCTCACCTCCTCCCTCCTAACTTCCTCCTTCTGACCGAGATATTGTCTACCAACTGCCGCCATAACATCCGCCTTAGTAGCCTCAGCATACTTGGCCAACTCAACCCTCAAACGCTCATCAAATCTCTTTTGCTCCTCGAGCCCTCTTGCGCGCTTTTTCCTCCTTCCTCTCAGTGATGAATTCCCTAAGAAATTCCTTTTCCTCATCTTCCACAGGATTCCTACGAGGAGTCTAGAAGCGTGGGGTAGACGAGGCTGAAAAGGAGGATTGACCCCCATTATTAACTGCATTCCCTCCCGCCTTACTAGGACATTCACGCGCGAAGTGGCCTTCGCCCTCACATTGAAAGCACTTCAAAGGCGTCGCCATCGCAACCAGCACACAACGGGGATGGAGATGAAATCAGCAGGTACTCGCTCGACTTCAACCAACCTGATAAACCAAACTTCTTCGAACTAATCCTTGCTAATCAGCACCCTAAAGGCGCCGGTGGTATCGTCGTACCAAACGTACACCCTGACCAGGTCGGATGTGCCAACATCGCCAATCAAAATAGCTAGTCTAAGAACTATCCTCATCGTAAATCGGTCAACTAGACAAACTACCCAATATAGGGAACAACGTGGCCACCATCGAATGTTCAATCGCACCCTTGGTTGTCACGCTTATCGGAATTGAAGAAACTGTTCGGCAAAACAACATTCAGCATGAGAATGGAGATGGAAGATACACCCAAAGCCACATTCCATTACGCACGCTATAAAAAACTTCAGAATCACACGTGAAGACAGGATTCCAGATTCTTAAACAAAGAAACACTCGAAAAGTCGAGCGCATGTCAACCCAACGCGGCCACACCTCTACGCGTTTYAACTACCCCGCAYGTAGTATCATCAKGAGGTTTGAAAMGAAAGGAGAATCCTATACTCCCGAAGTAACACARATGGCCAATCCTTTGCCTTGCCATCTTATATACCCTCTACCCAACTCCCTCCTTCACCAATCCCTGCCCCATCGAGCTTCTCACACCCATTAGTCCTACRAATACAAAGAGGAAGCAACGACTGACGAAGAATCCACGGAMGGAGCGAGAACCCAGTMGYGCTAGAGTACCCTTCAACCGCCACAGGGGAACGATCGCCATGTCGTAYGATCTGCAAAACAGCCAACACGCACAAACATTCAAGCACACAGCCAAAACCACAGGGCGAACACTCGCCGATCTGGAAACGAGACTCAGCAGGCGCCAATAGTCACGCKCGTCTTGCTTCGAAGTCCCYGAAACCGTCGCGAAGCAGCACGGAGGCAGGCTGACAATCCAACAGCTCATCACATGAGCAGGAACCATACCACGCTCATCGAGAGAACGTGCGCACTGCCCCATCACCCACCGAGTCAGACTGCGATGGGAGCAGCGTCAACGCACCCGCTGAAGCACAAGCAGCGGACCCGCCGTTGGGTACGCAACGAGCAGAATGAGAGATCAATACCACTGTCTCCATCAGTAATATAGCAGAAGCGTGGGCCATCTTTACGGTACCTACCAACCGTTTGCCCAGCGAAGCAGGCGCAAGGCACAAGGCCCACCGTTGGGACCACAGGCGCTGCTAGGAGGCCTTCGAGGCCAAACACTCCACTGCGAAGCCATAGAGGGTCCCTGCGAGGGGACCAACCCCGAGAAAATTGACAAGTCCGCTGGTAAAGCCGCAGGAAAAATGGCCCCGTAGGGCGATGTTGTGGAAAGAGACCACAACCAAGCCCCGAGAGGAGCACCACAACAAAAGCAAAAGAAATGCCACCCAATGGGAGCCCCCCGAAAGTCATATGTTTCCCTATGCCGAAAACCAAGAAAAACAACACCACTGATCACCGTTCTCATCAACGGCGACGAAGGCTCACACACCCTATCCGCTACTCCACATACATCGGTAGTGAGAAAGCTTTGGAGAAGCTTACGCAGAATTTCATCTGCAAAAAAAAAAAAGAAAGAATTAGCCTTTAAAAAAAAAGGGAAAAAAGGAGTTCCCAACAACGTTCTACATGCGTTTTCGTCACACCAAGGCAATGAATGGTGTCACACACTGTTCTTCACTCGCTATCATCAATTGACATCGTCCTACCTTCTTCCCCCGAGTACAACGCAGGGTCATTATAGCTGTGTTTGGGGCATCTTTCAGTCTAAATACAGCTATAATGACCGTGCGTTGTATTCGGGGGAAGAAGGTAGATCAGCCTTTTTGCCCTCACACAGCCTTATGATCGTCGTCTCAGTAAGTCGCAGGTCTCCACTGCCAGAATGAAGGAGGGGGCGAAGTCGTAGCCTGAAGGCCGACTTTTCTTTTTGTTTTTTTTTCAATTTCTCGATTGGTGAGGGCCATGTTTGGTAGCAGGGGTAATCGGGACCATAAACCGAAGTTCGCATCGTCATCATCATCGCCAGCGTAATCATCATCATGGTGTTGCACCCAAGCAAAGACATAATTAGACGTTGTCATGGCTATGCTTGTTCGCTCACAATGGTTTTCGTACATGCAAACAGTTTTCACATTTGTGGTGTGAAAGGATAATGAAGAGGATCCAGTATGCACATCAAACTGCACAAGTCCCCGCGCACGGTGAGGTGCTTACGTAGTCCCCATGCACGTCAGAGTGCACACGTAGCCGACATGCACGTGGAAGTGCAGACGCACCCAGCATGCGCGTAACAGTGCACAGGTGGCCGGCATGCACGTGAAGGTGCACAGGTAGCCAGCATGCACGTCAAGGTGTTACGTGTAGCGAGCATGCACGTCGACGTGCTCACCTAGCCAGCATGCACGTCAAAAAGCAGAAGATCCAGCATAGACGTGAGAGCGAGGACGTGGCCAGCCTGCATGCCACAATGCATACATAGTCAACGAACACTTCGAAATGCAAAACACGTAGCCAGCATGCACGTCAACGTGCTCAGTAGGTAGCCACCATGCACGTCGAAGTGCACATTACTCGCAGCCATCATACACAACATGTGCATGCTTTTCGTTATGCCATAGGAATTACTGACAGAGAAACTGACCTCGTAGGATAATCGTCACATGATGAAGAAGCGGGGAGAAGGAGGAGAAGGAGGAGAAGGAGGAGAATGAGGATGAGGAGGAGGGGAAGGACGAGGAGGAGGAGGAACGACGACGACCATAACGACGGTCTGGACAATGGGGGATGTTGATATTGAGGTAGAGGAAGAAGAAGAGCGAGAATTATCCATAACTACGGTGATGAGGGAGGTAAACGAAGATAGGAGAAAGAGGGATGCTTCTGGAAGCGCCTTGGCAGTCTGGGAACTCGAGCAAAAAAAACTGTCCATACCTTTTTTTCGGCCTTTTGGCTAAGTAAGATCAAGTGCGCTGTATCTGTTCTGATCAGGTTAATATCTGATCTGTGGTCCATCGGGCCACAAAAAAAAAACAAAAAACAAAAACAAAAAAAAAAAACAAAAAAAACAAATAGCTGTCAAGAATTCTGAGTTACCTGGATGCGAGCTACCCTTCGTCCCCCGAACACAACGTACGGTCATCATACATGTATTTAGGCTGAAAGATACCCCAGATTCAGCTATAATGTGCTCATTATAGCTGTATTTAGACTGAAAGATACCCAAGATTCAGCTATAATGACCGTACGTTGTATTCGGGGGAAGACTTGTAGTTCGACTTTCATTCTCAAGGCCGCAGGAAGGTGACAATACATTCACCCCGCTCCCGCTCCCTTTCCCACCT